ATCACTAACTGTACATGCATAAACGTCACCAGGATCATCATCTGTAATCTGGGCTAGGCAGGGATGAAACAGCAAACAAACGGACAACAATGATACAGTTGCAACATACAGATTTTTGAAAGGTAGAAAAATATCTAATGGACATTATTTTTTTGAAAATTTCCCCTATGTGGGTGGAAGATGGAAAGGACTTTCTATATAGATATGACAGATGCTTCCCCCTCTCCTCGCAGCTTCTTTTATTACTTCATCTGCAGCAATGTTTTTCTTCCAGGTCTTTTTGCCTCTTTTCTTACTTTTTCCTTATGAACAGAATTTCTTTCAGTGAGGCTCTCTGTATAAACCTCAGCAGAAGATATTCTTACTCTATGCCATGTGCACTGTTTGGTCTGTGCCTCTACAGCACCTTTTCAGGTGTTTATTTCCCAAGTATTACAATATCTAATACCTAAACAAAAAACCCATTATTTTTCAGTGTACATTATGAGGACTCCTCTAGAAAAAGGGGAACCCTACAACTGTTAGAATCAATGGACAGTAGATGATCCCTACCAGAAGATATTCACAATGCAAGCCTGTATGTCAGATAAACCTTGGATGAAGGCAACATACCTCACATGCTGAAACCAAACCTGAATGTCAAAGTTCCACAATTTACAGGACCTTCAGTGTAGCAGACTAGGATAAAAAATGCTCTCAGAAGGATTATATCCCTCAGATTTGTCCATAATGACTGTTGTGAACTGAATCACTTTACGCATTAGAAAAGCTATGCACTACTTTTGGATCAAAGAGGTGTTTGGTTCACTTCAACGCATACACAAATTGTCTGTACTGTTAGCGTTAAAAGAAGTTATGACCGGCACTGAAGTGTGACCAGACTTCTCAGATTGTTTCAATGTCTGGGAAGAAAAGCTCAGTAGGTTCATAAATCTAATATATCTTTTTCATAATAAAACCTAGAGCAGCAATAATTGCAATAAAGTTTTACAAGGCATCCTGAGAGGAATAAAAAAATAACTGCTCTCTGCACCACAGCTAAATAAAGCAAAATTAGATTTTTTTTTTTAAAAGACCATAAGGAATTCAAATTAACAGACTTTGTAAAGGATGCTAGCAAAAGACTTTTGAGGGAGACCCTAATTATTGGTTGCTTTGATTTTAGTGACCTTGCTTATCTTATCTTTCTAAACAGACATTTTAAACAATAAAGTTTCAAACACTGAGACAGTGTAAAGGCTGCTTTGGGTGGAAGACTTTACAAAGAACAAACTTCTGTAAGTTAAACCGAGTTGTTTTAGCGTATTTTTGCCATATTAATCCCCATTCCTCATAACACAAATCAGATCACTACGCTCAGGACCCATGCGATTTCAGTGGCAGAGATGAAAGGCCAAGACTTTGGACCTCCAAACAGCCTATGGAGGCAAGCCAAGGGCAGCGACGGCTGCAATGTGTCTGTTGCTGTTAAGAAGCCTCCCTCTATTTGCAGAATTTCCAAAAGCTGACATTTCCCTCCAAGCATTTCTGGTACCTCCTAAAGCCTTAACTTTGATTACGCCTCCCAGAGTATGTAAAAAAGAAACAGCAGGTATAGGTACAAAACTACGCAGCCTTATGCAATTACTGTTCACAGTGATCAGGCAATCCTGGTGAGAAGCTGCTGCTCAGCGAGGCAGCTGGAATACACTAAATCGCCCCACGTTAAATATGGCACAGGGAATTCTTCCAACACTTAGCAGTAACATATTGCTACGTACTTTATGAAGTGAAACAAAGCATCTAAAGTCAAATGTTCCAAAATACGGTAGAGTGAAGACTGGAATGCTTAGTCAATGTAAATCAAAGTATAAACTTTCATACAGTGCTAAACCCATCACAGACACTTCACCTCTCTAATGCTTATAAATTTCCACTCTTCTGTCCTTGCTGCCATCAAATTCCTAATTTATAGTCCTCATAGAAAGCAAACAACAGTCATCTGACACGTACTATATGCTTTCTGTCAAACACAAGTGATTTCGGGGGCTGCTCTACCATAGCAGCCTTATCTTACATCCTCCAAAAGGTATAAAGGGCCTGAATTTTAAAGAAGCTTCAAGCTTTTTTCTTATTTTACAGCCACAATTTTAAAATATTTCTGCACGCATGAGTGATCTGGTGCAAATCTTACTACTTTTAGCTTTTCTGCAAACGTCTGAACTGAAGCCTCAGGCAAATACTGAGATTTCTAAATCAGGGCCTGCAAATGCTTGCATACACAGATATAGACATGTATTCTCAAAAAAAACCCAAAATCAAAAAAACCCAAAAGAACAAAAATATTCTGCAGAATCAAGACTATTTGGAAAACTGTCAATAGGGTCATAAGATCCATCTTGCCTTGGTTCTTTTCTTCACCCATTCCTTCACTGACTTTCCCCTCATCTTCTCTACAGGCATTCCTAAAGGACTATTCTTGTTCCTCTCTACTTCTCCTTCTTGACCCTATCTTTTGGCAGCAAAGTCAACTACTGTCTCTCTGCTCATAGCTCGAAGACCCCCTTTATTCCCAGACCCATTCTCTTCTGCCCAAGCTGAAATCTCAGCCTTTGTCAGCCTATGGGATGATACCCATTTCAATTTAAGCTACCTCAAGAAGCAGATCCTGTAAGGGCAGGCACAATTGCTCTAAGTGACTGTGAGATACAAGCTGGACTGGATAATCTGGGACCCTGTGCCCAGGAAGAGGCAGGGTGCAACCTTCTGTATCTGCTTGTGTGATATGCAACCTCAGAGAGGCTGCATAATGCAGATAATCTGTCACAGTACCTCTATTCTTCAGTCTCTCAGCATCTCACATTTTCAGTATACCGTGTTCTTTAGCATTGCCTCCTTCAGCTCTGCCCCCTTTCACCTTCGCAGAATGCTACAGCAGCTACAGTACTCCCACCTGTTTTAACCAAGTCACCTCTGCATATATGTCCCACCAGTGGCTCACCCTTCTCTAGTACCTCAAAGAACTGCTCACCCTCCCTCTCCAAGCCTTTCATAACTCACTCCATTCAAAAGCAAAAGTTCAGCTCCCAGCTCTGCCTGAGCTGTGATGTGAGCTCATTGTCCAAACAAGCACCTTCTGTGCTTTTTCCAGTGCTTCCCTTTTGTAATGAAGTAGCAGCCCAGGCATCAGAGATGCCAATGGAGGCCCCAGCCATGGCAGTGCTCCTTGTCCTTGACTGTCCTTTGAGTCAGTTGTGTTACTACCTCTGGAGGGTAGCTGCTCTTTTTTTTTTTTCTTTTCCTCTCCTGGAGATCTATATTGCCTACACAACACAGAGTAATTTGTTTGTCTTCTGTGTTTCAGGCAACTAACTTATAGATATTTAATCTACACAGGAATTTTATAAAATTGCAGCCTCCCAAGATAACAAAATCATTATCCTGACACTTCACATTACTGTCATGCTACACATGCTACAATAAATAACTCCTCTAGATTTCTTCATTTGCATTACAGATCCTCTTTAGCCAATAATGTTCATTTTTCTTGGAGTTTAAAATGGAGGCTGTTCTTTCCCTCAACTT